ACTCAGAGCTATCCATTAACTATTTTGCTGCATTAACTTAAAAATGCCCTTATGCTTATTAACTCATCAAGGGTACTGCAAAATGTTTACTGGCAGATTCCAGAAGGAAATGGTTCTGGTGTTGTCTGGGATGAACTGGGACATATTGTGACAAATTATCATGGTAAGAATAAGAGCTAGTACATGAACTCAAATAACTATATATTGATCACGGACATCAAGAGTTCCAGTAGACTTTTTGTTTCCAGTAGCAGTTATCTGCTCTGATGAGTGCTAATACATGATTATACAAGGAATCTCCATTACATGAGAATCCTAATTGATGCCTCACTGAAACATCCTCCTATGTAATGTTAATTTATAATCAGTATCAGCTATATCAGATAAAGATTCTTATTTTATATTTTTCTTCTATAAACTTTCCTGTCCTTTCTCTCTTGTTATTTTTCCTGGTTAACCATTCCCTTTGCATGTTCAGTGATAGGCAATTCCCTCTCAAGAAATCCAAGTCCTGGGCAAGTTGTTGCACGAGTTAATATCCTAGCATCAGAAGGGTGAGATTTGCAGTACCTTTAGCCTTTGCTGGTAAATTGAGTTGCATTATCTAGTATTAAGGTTTTGACTGCTGCAGCTTTTTCTTTAATTGTCTAATCTAATTGCTGCTTTATAGGGTACAAAAGAATTTTGAGGGTAAGTTGATTGGTGCCGATCGCTCTAAAGATCTTGCTGTTTTAAAGGTATCTTTTCTTTTTATTTTCCTGTAAAGTACTGGCTGAACTGCCTTGATTGTTTGGTCTGATTATATTACAGGCTACACCAATGTATGTGTATCTCTTTGTTTGCATTTTCAATAAACTTGAAGCTTGTAGATACACAAATAGACGATTGATTTTGGTTTAATAGAATTTATATTACACCAAATTAATCAAAATGATGTGTAACCATCAATAATTGTATATAAAGATGTAAGCCGATCATAACTTGTGTATATATGCATGTTCACATGGTTGCATATCAATTTAAGAATTAGTCTCCTCTTCAAAGGGAAGTTATGTGGGCCTATTCTATATCGGAGACTCAGTTGTTTGTCACAGAACATTTAATGAATAATTTTGACATAGAAACTCCAATTTCCTAAACAATGAGATGAAGGAAATTATTCATTCTAACTCAAAATTAGAAACAAATGTATATCTCCTTTTACCAAAAAGGAAAAAGAAAATCTATATTACCTGTAATGGCATAGGCTTGATCAAATTATCCATCCAGGCGATGCTGTTCTAATTGTGCATATACTCTGTAATATTCTAGTTTGCCGAAAGTTTATGAGCAACTGATGCTGATCTCCTCAACATGCTAGGTAGAAGCCTCTGAAGATTTGTTGAGGCCAATTAAGGTGGGGCAATCATCTTCTCTAAGAGTAGGACAGCAATGTCTAGCAATTGGAAATCCATTTGGTTTTGATCATACCCTTACCGTTGGAGTTATTAGTGGATTGAACCGAGACATTTTTAGTCAAACTGGAGTCACGATTGGTGGTGGAATTCAAACAGATGCAGCCATCAATCCAGGAAACAGGTTTACCAAATGATTTGTCTAATCCTCAGTATCCTTCTTAAACTTTAAAGTTAATGTCTTTAAACAAATTGTTCACTGCTTTCTACCTCATGGCTTTCTTTATTTGTTGCAGTGGAGGCCCTCTGTTGGATTCTAAAGGAAATCTGATTGGAATTAATACAGCTATATTCACACAGACAGGTCATTTTATGTTCCATTTTTTTTGTTGCATATGTCATGTGCCATAATCTGAAACAAAGTAGTTATCTGATATTGATTGCTTTATCTTGATGGGAAGATATATTTCATGATTAGATGTTTCCCGTGGCCAAAAATAATAGTAGTATTAAAATCTAGCAGCTTCCTATGTATTGCATTCTGATTTGTTATTTGTATTTCAGGTACATCAGCAGGTGTAGGATTTGCAATCCCTTCCTCCACGGTGCTTAAGATTGTACCTCAGCTGATCCAGTTTGGCAAAGTAAGTTTCATTACCGGTCAAATTCTTGCTTTCCTCCTATTTTCTGATTTTTGCTAACCCCCTTTTTCTAGTCCTTCTCAGTAAGGACCTTTTACTTTCACCTTCTCTGCATTTTAACCATCACTAAACTCATAATTCTGCAATATTTGGGTATAAAAGGATGGGTGTTATTACTAAGAGTTGAGCATCTGAACGATTTTAACCTAATGTTACTCTGAATGAACAAGCTCTAGTACTTCCTATCTCATTTTTCATCCACTGTCAGGCTGTTCGAGCAGGTTTGAATATTGAAGTTGCTCCTGATCTGATTGCTAATCAACTTAATGTTCGAAAAGGGGCCCTCATCCTTCAGGTATTTCAAATTTAGTTTGGACTTTTAAACTTTTAAAGTGTACCCATCTTTTCAATAACTTAGAGATTTTATACCGTCTATGTGCTGTTGCTTGAAGAATATTTAAAAATTTCTTATATTTACTTCATGGTACTTTACTACATGGTACTTTAGGTTCCTGGGAACAGTCTTGCCGCCAAGGCTGGGCTACTCCCTACCACCAGGGGTTTTGCTGGTAATATTGTACTTGGAGATATCATTCTTGCAGTCGACAACAGATCTGTGAGTTTCCTCATAAGTTTCTACTCTTCTAGTTCCCTATCTAAACACGTTCTTTTAACATCATGCAAGATGATAAATTATCTATATAATTTCGAAAGTAAGAATTTTGTTTTGTTAATGTGATAATCTGATAGTGTTCTGGCTTGAAATCATTTGGCTCCTCTTTGTTATTTCATGTCGATATCAAGCAGATCATTGTTCTTGATTGCTTCCATTCTGGTTTCGCATTTTCCAGTTGAGCAAGATATGAGCCATTGTTCAAATTTAAGTTGTCATTTTTGTCAACCTGGCGTGCTAAATCATGTTGGAATGAAGTATTTTTGTTTCATGTGCATCACATTCAATGATTCGATGCAGTTTTATATGACATTCATATCTTAAAACACTGTTGTTTTCTCTTTTTGCAACCTATCATCAGGTTAAAAACAAAGGAGAGTTATACAAATCATTGGATGAATACAATGTGGGGGATAAAGTGATCTTAAAGATTCAAAGAGGCGGCGAGAACATGGATCTGCCAGTAATTCTAGAGGAAATAAGTTCATGACAGGGTCGCCCAACATCTCTTTCGGGATGATGAACATGTACAAAAATCCCATGTTGAAACTCCCACAATTTGTCAATTTCCCATGTTTGTTGAAGGAGGATTATATACTTGTGGACATATATGGCAAAGAGAGGAGCTGTTGTACACAACAGTTATTGGTTATAAGGATGTTAAGGGATAGGGTACGAGACGGGTACAGTATTTTTTTTTTTTTTTAATTTTTAGATTTTTATATTATATTTATTTTCATACTTATATTTAAAGAATATTTCAAATCTATTTTCATTTTTATCTTCGCGAGTATTTAATGGATTTAGATAATTTTCATATCTATAATTTTTTAATAAATAATAAAAATTAAATTTATTTTTAAGTTTTTTTTTAATTTTTATCTAACATATTTATGTAATGTTTTATAAATATATATAATATATTTTTTAAATAAAAATATATTAGTTTAATTAATTTAAAATAATAATTTATATTATTTAATAAAAAATTATTTACTATAAATATATATATATATAAGGTACAAATATGGGGCAAATGTTATATTATTCATTTTCATCTTTATATGCAATAAAAAATTTAAATTTATATATATTTTTATTTTCACAATATAATTTTCATCTTCATCTTTATTTGAGTAAAAGTTTTCATTTTCATTTTTATTTGAGTAAAAGTTGAATTTTTCGTTGAGTTTAGATAAAATCGATAGCTCTAATTGTTTTATGTCTTCATTATAATTGTTTGATTCATGATACTTGTCTATTTTGTTAAAAATGGCTGGGATGCAATATCAACTATAAACATGACATTAAATCCAATTTTATATGTACATCAAATTAACAACGGTGGGAGTTAAAATCCCTTTTTGGTGCTTGCAAATGACGGGATTAAATAATGAAACAAATGAATATTCAAATGAAAGAAGTTTCAAACCTGCATTTTAGTTTATATGATTTATGCAATTATTTTTTAACACTTATTCAGTTTAGAGTTTAAATTTTAGTATTTTTAATTTTTTAATTTTTTTAAAAAATAAAAAATTTTTAAAATAATATTTTAATTAACTTTAATTAATATTCTAAAATTAATTTTTTATTATATAATTTAACGACATGTTTGATACATAAGATTATAAATATAATAAGATAATATAATATTATGAATAGATTATATTAAATAATATCATCATATCTTGTGTTAATGTATATAAAGATTATGATAAAATAATTTTATTTATTAATCAAAATTATTTTTTCAAAATTTATATAATTTAAATTATTTATGTAATTTTTACGAATATAATAAGATATGTAAATTTTTTTTAAATTTTTAATTTATCCTTAAACCCCTATCCTATTATATACCTGGTTAAAAAGGACAATATGCACCGAAACTTTCTCGAATCCACGACCTTCAAATATCAACTCTAATGACATATCAATTAATTAAAGAGATAATTACTTAATAAAACATGTAAGTTTAATTTCATTTATTAAAAATATTTTTTTTCATTTGGTAAGGATTGAATTATCTTATGTCAAAAAAATATTAATCCTCTTTGTAATATTATTTCTTTCTTTTTTGTTCAATTCTATTTATATATATATATATAAATTAAGATGATTATTATTGTATCTATCAACTACCCTCATAATCCAAAAAACTAATTTATAGAAAGAAAATATGTGGGCTTCGTAACTGACTACCCAAACAATTGGGCCAACTCAAAGGCAACAAAGCCCATTAAACTTTGCTTCAGTGGACTCAAATAGAACTGAGTCTAGCCCCTTAAGTTCCAAACTTCCTCTGTAATTGCTCCGAACCGACTCTGGGGTTTAGGGTTTTTGGTGGCTTAACCATAGCCACTATTTTCCCTCCATTTTCTCTCTCAGTCTGTCTTTTCTCTATCTCAGTCCTCTGCAGGTAAGCTCCATCAATTACCCTTTTTGTTTTCTTAATCTCCCGTTCTTTTATCACCAAATTTAACACCTGTTAACTTATTGCTATTTCATCTTTTTATTGCCTTTAAAAAAAAACAGTGTTGGGTTTATACTCTTTTTATGTGGCGTTTTTAATGGGAAAAGGCTTGGCAACGTTTCTGTTTAGAATCTATACATCTAAGAACAATGTTTCTAGAGTTAAGTTTATGTTATCCAATCGGTATTTTCATTCTCTACGGCAATATGAAAACTGGGTTTCGGATAAAGACCCTTTTGTGCCATCTTTCGATATGCCCGGAAGAGAATTTTCGACGAGTTTGGTTGGTTTAGGTGGTAAATTTAGGAACTTCGGAGATGCTAATGTGAGACCTTTTTCGTCTGTTGTTGAAAATGGGGATGATGATGGTGGGGAGGATAGTGTAATGCGTGGTTCGAGAAGGAAAAGAAGTGAGGAGAAGAATATTGTGGATTTTGTGAAAAGTATAGATTTTGATGGTGTCACTGAGAATAAGGGTGAGGAAGGTGTTGATGGTTTTAATGAGAACGGTATGTATGGTTCAAGAGATGTTGAGTCGGAACATGAAAGTGATAAAGAGAATAAGGATATTGTGAATTTAACGAGAATTAATGGTTTTGATGGTGTCCATGAGAATTTGGTTGACGATGGTATTGATGATTTTAAGGAGAATGGTATGTGTGATTCAACAGTTGTTGAGTCAAAATATGAAAGTGATGATGTAAGTAATGATAAAACTGTGGGTGGCAAGCAAGTGGCTTTTCGTGATCCTGTGGAATTGTATCAGGAACTTCGTAATATTGAAAAGCATGCAAAGCTGAAACGAGCTGATTGGGAGATTGTACAAGAAGTTTTCAATTATTTCAGTAAATCAGGGTTGGCAGCCAATCAGTCTCTTGCCATTTACATTGGCAGGTCATTTTTCCCTACAGCTGTCCATAAGTTTCGCAGCTTTTTCTCTAAGAAATGTTCAGCTGTTGTTGCTGAGCACGTGATATCACTAGGTCCATCTGATGCTGCTGTTAAGTTTCTTTTCCCTATATTTGTGGAGTTTTGTATTGAAGAGTTTCCAAATGAGATCAAGCAGTTTCGAAGTATGATTCAGTCCGCAGATCTTACAGAGCCACATACATGGTTTCCCTTTGCGAGGGCAATGAAGCGTAAGATTGTTTATCACTGTGGTCCAACAAATAGTGGCAAGACTTACAATGCTTTGCAGCGTTTTATGGAAGCAAAGAAGGGTGTTTATTGCAGTCCGCTTAGGCTTTTGGCTATGGAAGTTTTTGACAAAGTGAATGCACAAGGAGTTTACTGTAGTCTCCACACAGGGCAAGAAAAGAAATTTGTCCCATTTTCGAATCATGTTGCCTGCACTGTGGAAATGGTGTCAACAGAGGAATTATATGATATAGCTGTGATTGATGAAATCCAGATGATGTCAGACCCGTATAGAGGTTATGCATGGACACGTGCATTGCTTGGATTGAAAGCTGATGAGATACATTTGTGTGGAGATCCAACTGTTCTCAATATTGTCAGAAAGATATGTTCTGAAACTGGAGATGAGTTGCATGAGCATCATTATGGCAGGTTCAAACCATTAGCGGTTGAAGCCAAGACTCTGCTGGGAGACCTTCGAAATGTTCGATCTGGTGACTGTGTTGTTGCTTTCTCAAGGAGAGAGATATTTGAGGTGAAAATGGCCATTGAGAAACACACAAGTCACCGCTGCTGTGTTATTTATGGTGCTCTGCCACCAGAGACTCGCAGACAGCAAGCTAACTTGTTTAATGATCAAGATAATGAGTTTGATGTGCTTGTTGCCAGTGATGCTGTGGGAATGGGATTGAATCTTAATATTAGGAGAGTTGTCTTTTATAGTCTTTCAAAGTACAATGGTGACAAGATTGTTGCAGTCCCAGCATCACAGGTTAAGCAAATTGCGGGAAGAGCTGGTCGTAGAGGAAGCCGTTATCCGGATGGACTGACAACAACCTTGCATTTAGATGATCTGGATTATCTAATTGATTGTTTAAAGCAGCCCTTTGAAGAAGTTAAGAAAGTGGGTCTCTTTCCTTTCTTTGAGCAGGTTGAATTGTTTGCTGGGCAATCCCCAAATGTTACTTTCTGCAAGTTGCTTGAAAAGTTTGGTGAAAATTGTCGTTTGGATGGGTCATACTTTTTGTGCCGTCATGATCATATTAAGAAGGTGGCAAATATGTTGGAAAAGGTCCAGGGATTATCTTTGGAAGATAGGTTCAACTTCTGTTTTGCTCCAGTTAATGTTAGAGACCCGAAAGCAATGTATCATCTCCTTAGGTTTGCTTCGTCTTACAGTAAAAATGTCCCAGTAAGCATAGCAATGGGCATGCCAAAAGGTTCTGCTAAAAATGATGCTGAGCTCCTGGATCTTGAGACTAAACATCAAGTTTTATCTATGTATCTGTGGCTATCTAACCACTTCAAGGAGGAAACCTTTCCTTACGTGAAGAAAGCAGAAGAAATGGCTGTTGATGTTGCTGACTTGTTGGGTAAGTCTCTTGTTAATGCATGCTGGAAACCAGAATCGAGACAGGGAAAGAAACCTAAGCCTCAAGAGAAGGAAGAAGGATATCAGAGACGCAGGTCAATTATCAAGTTACATGAGAAGTAAGTTTCTTGCTATTAAAATAACCACATGGCTTATTGCAGAATAAGAAATTTGGCATGGGATTCCAGTTTTAACTGTGTTTTGTTGTTATTTGCTTTCTACTTTTTCTTTCAGCTAAATGTAAAACTTTCTGTGTATGTATGTGAGGGATGGATGGACCCTCATGATAGCTGAGTTGTTTTAAAATATATGATTGTTTTCTTATGCTAAAACATTATTTAAGGCTCACAGTCAAAATTGCACCTCCCCAATGAAGATAGAGATATGGCAATGAACCTCTCTCATCTCCCCTGTGCTATTTCACATTTAATGCAATTAGGATTAATCCCTGGTTGATCTCATTGTCGAATAATTTTCTCTGTTCTAAATGTTATGAGACACCCAAACCCCCCCCCCCCCCTCTCCCCCTTCCCTAGGAAAAATGGAAAAAAAAATTTAAAGAGAAACCAAAATGAAAATTTTACTTGACAATAATTATCAACCGCAAGCAAACATGAAACTTAAGTGGATATAAAAGACATAACTGTGGACGATGTTGATATGCTATTTGCATGAGGGTTTTCTTTTTTTTTTGGAGGGGGGGGGGGGGGGATTCAGTACCATCTATAGGTTTTACCTTATGATTAACCATCTATGCTAACAATTTTGGTGTTTTCCCTGCAGGAAAAGGCAAGATAAATCTGCTCTTGCAGACAATTCATCAAAAGTAGCAGCGTAATCATATTATAGGTACCTAATATGCGTAGTCAACACAGCTACTGTTTTAGCTTTGCTGATAAATCTTTTCTTATTCGAATTTGCATTGGAAGAGGATAGACAAAAGCAAAGAAAGATATGAGAAGGGTGGGAGAAGAAAATCTCTGCCATAATCTTTTTAGACCTTAGGTAAAACCAGGCATAGAGAAGCACCCGTTTGCTCGCTTTATAATGGCCCCTTTCTGTTATTATGGTGGCAAAGCATTAGTTATTTCCGAGAATCAAGGGAAAATCTCCATTTTCAGATGAGTGAATATAAAATTTGAAGGTGAGAAAGATGCTTGAATGGTAATGTTGTCAATTTAGGGGCTCATTTTAGGATTAAGTTTGTGAAGCACATTGTATTTTGGAGGCAACAAAATGCATTTCATTTGTTGGGGGACTTATTTGTGTGTTGACCCTTAGGGTTAAACTCTGTAATTGGTCCATTCTTCACTTGAGTTGGTATTCATAATATGTAGGCTTATTGCTCTTTTGTTCTTTTTTTCTCCTTGTTTCACTGAATCCTAAATCTGCTGTATAAGGAATAACTTTATAGATTAAAAGGTGCCGGAATGTCTTCTCTACGCTTAAACTGATTTGGTGTGGTTTCCAACACTGATAGCAGGTTTCTTCACCGCCTTGCATGATTGAAGGTGGTTCCTATCTCTTGAAAATTTTTCAAATGTTTCTTTTTTTTTTTCATCTGATATTGCAGGTGAGATCTGGAATTATTATGCTAAAGTGATCTTAAATCAAGTTTCAGACGTCTAATTTCCCGACAAAAGTTTCCAAAATTACCGTGTCCTACGGCTTGCGGCCTATTTATAAAGGGATAAAGGAAAAAAGGGAAAAAAGGGAAAAAGCACTACTACATCCTGTGATATGTAGGGAATAAGAGAAATTATTAGCCCCTAATGAGTTGTAACGAAACTCAATGAATGTTTTTTTTTTCAATTTAGATTGTAGAAATTATCAGGACGTGAAATCTGATTATTAAATTAAAAGCACTCTTTCAACTAGCTAATCTTTGTCTGGCTGTTCGGGATTTTTATCAATCTGAAAATTACTGACATGAATTCATTTAGGAAGCTACCATGTCCATGACCATGGTCAAAGGGTAATAACTTAAGAATTAACTGTTAAAATTGTGTATTGAGTTTCCATAGAGGATCAAGCAGATTTCTATAATCAAGATGCTTTAATGCAGCATGCTTTGTACCGAATTCTTAAGCATTCACGGTGTAATGTCAAGAGAGTTCTCATCAAAGAAATCAGCAGCCTAAGAGTTACCTTTTTGTAATTTCCTATCCGCAATTGAGTTTGTGATACAGTCGATTGTCGATCCATCATCACCATGAGAGCGGGAACAAACGAAAGAAATATACAAAATATCCAAAAGGTCTCATATTTCTGATTCTGTTTGATTCAACATCAGCAGAAGAGATGGAAAATTTTCTGAAAAACCTTTTTAAGTTTGCAAGAGTTAAGCATACTTACAAGTTAGTGCCAGGCAGATGGTTTTCACCACACAAGAAAAAAGTATGGACATCAAGTCCCAAGTAAACTATACGAGTTTTTGTGCAAAATATGCAGGTGGGAAATCTTTACCCACCCTTACCACCTATTTTTCCTATTTGTCTGCTCGTTCCAAAGCATTACTGTACTACTATGCATGCAGAGGCTTAACAACCAAAGGAGAATCCTTCTTCGAAGCACTGCAAAGAAAAAGGGCAATAAGAACATTAGGATTTTTTCTTTTCTTTTAAATTGACAAAAAACTGAAGATCTGTTTGCGAAGATGCTGGCTTTGGGGAAGACTTACTTTTGTATATGGAAAGGAGGAAATTCCTCATTTTTGAGGACCTTTCCATGTAAAGACTGAGGGTATCTATCCAGTGTAGGTAAGATGAACTTTTGCACTTTCACGTCACATACCACACATCTATGATCGAAATCACCAGCTGCTCGCGCAGCTTCTATTTTACAGTCGCCACACCACAGCAGGTGTTGGCAAGGAAAGTTGGCCCACAAAAACTTTGGCTGGTTGCACCAGAAGCACTTTCCCTGCTTAATGCTTGCCTTGTAATTCTGCACACATCAAACCATGAGTCTGTTATTGTTGTGAAATGTTTGACATAAATTCATGAAAGTGTTGTTAGCTGCTTACGTGATAGAAATCAAATTGACGAAGAAAGAATATGGATGAGTTGTTCCTTTTTCTTAGAAGAGCCTCCAGAACCAAATGCCTTCCTTTATGACTGAGTTTCCTCTCATTAAACCCCCGAGTCCCTCCTTCATCATTGGCATTTGCTGTCCCACTTTTTCTTTCATTATATAGCTTTGTTTGAGTAAGGCAAAAGTCTGACTTTAAGAATTGCATAAAACTTGAGTGAACAACAGGCAATTTATTCTTCGGAGCTAAATTCTCTTGCAGAACGTTTTTAGATGGATCAATCTCGCCACTGCTGATGCTAACATTTTCACAAGAATTTGAGAGAAGATCCTGAGGATACTTGGAATCATTAGAATCAGTATCTGTACTGTCATCAGGTGGTGCAGCACAAGAGGGTGGGTAGTGCACGGAGAGTGGCTGACGCAATTTCCAATCAGGCATAGGTAGGCAAGGCATGAGCACCATGTGATTGGGAGATCCACATCCTCCTATTGGCATGACCTTCATGCGACAAAGATCAGGAAAACATCTCATAAAATCACTAAGCTTATGGTAACCAAGAGAAACATGGTCAAGTTCTAGGCCAAATGCAGCCCTGAAATCTGCCTTCAATGATGACAGAGGGTATTCCCCTTCCTTTGGTTTCTTTGATAACTCCTGTAAGAAACTGGGAAGCCACTTCTTGAAAGTTCTCAACCATATTGGAATATTGCAGTTGGTGGAGGGGGTGCTAACGAGTACTTGAGATTCAGGAAACGTCTTCGGTTGGCCATGGAGTAATTTATTCACCCATGAGATTTGATCAGCTTTAGCCTCTTCCAAGATTTTCCTTCTTGGCATCTCTTCCTCACTCTTTTCGCTGGATGTCTCCAATTGTGGTTGATATTGATCATTGGGATCCTGTTGATGTTGAGGTGATAGCTTCAAGGACTCATCCCATCTCCCAACAGCACTTTTGATCTCAACTTGCTTGCCCATGATGGTTACATAGCGTGCTTGAACAGCCTTTGAAACAGACTTACGGTGTTTAAAAGTGACAAAGCCAAAGCCACGAGAGTGTAATTCATCACCTGTTCTAATTGTAACAACATGGGCGTCTTCCACAGACCCAAACTGACCTTCAAAAAACTTGCTCAGTGAGTCTGCTCAAGAAAAAAAGGGGGGCCATAACTTATCCTGACTGAACCAGTACAGCATTAGCAAAAGTGCATACAAGTCTAAATGCAACTAAAAAAGATTTTGACAAAATTCTAACCAGAATCCAACAGAGGATGGAGGCCGCCTACAAAAATTTTCCGTTTCAGTTTCTCTGCAGCAGGAGAATGAATGAGGTGCATTCCCTGTTTCACCTGTCCAAGCTCCTCTTTACCATGAGCATAAAAGCACTTAGAACCTCTGACACATCCTCCAGATTCAAAGTACTTACAGATCTCTGTCTTTAGGCTTGTGTTGGTTCTAAAAAAACAGGGAAAGTAGAAAATTAAGAAATAAAACAGAAAGCAACATACTCAACCAGCACACAAAGAGAGAGAGAGAGAGAGAGAATGTGATGGGGAGATGGATGTCAGGGATGACAATTCGCAGGATTTTTTATGGTTTTAAGTTTTTGAAAAGTTTAGTCACCTTTCAGTACAGCTTTCTTCATCCGCCATGGTTAGAAGAGTTTCACATGTATCAAAAATAACTTCATCACCTTTGAAGCGAGGAGTATATTTCTGTTCAACTGGGGAAGTACGATTCACCGCACACAAAAATATCATGAGACTGGATGAGTTAAATTAGTAATAATTGAGATTTATGTCTTTATGTTTGTTAACTATGCCATACATTGGAATGTTTTTAAACACCACTTACTGAGAGTACTATAGGTTGTGTTTAGTATGAAACGTATGTCCTGTGACTTAGCCAAGTCTATCGGCCTTTCTCTACTGGGGAGCACAAATGTAAGCGATGTTAACTATTAAAGTTAAATTTCAATGGCAAATTTCTAGGAAACAAATAAAAGAACCATTATAACATGAAGATGACTTTAAAAGAAAGGGTATTATTTTTTCCAACCGCAAGTTGAGGACTTCACTGTTTGCACCCCAGCGCAGAAGAAGCTCTGCACAGTCAATATGATCATTCTTCACAGCAAAAAATAACGGGGTTTCTTTCATTATAGTTTTGTAGTTGATGCCATCTGGGTCTTCTAGTAGAAGTACCTATCAGAACAATTGAAAGGAAAATGTCAAAGATAAAAATTGCAGATTTTGGAGTATAAGAACCTCTTTAAGCTTGCTACTGGCATGTGGCGCTTAAATAAGAAAAATTTTAAAGAAATTATACCTGGAGTGCCTGTGTATTACCATTAGCAGCAGCAATGTGAAATGCTGTTAATTCCAATTTGTCTTTTTGGTTTACTCGGGCACCATGCTTCAAAAGGAGCCATATGATTCTGGCAACAACAAAGCGATCATAAGGAAAAAAAAAATTTTCATGTATGGAGAGAGAGAGAGAGAGAGACTGACTTAATCTGCTGTGAAGATGAACTCCAGGACATTCTAAGGGACCAATGCAGAGCAGAGTTTCCTTCAGCATCAGCATCATTTACGTCCATGTTGGTCTTCAGAAGCAGCTCGATTACAGCTTCATCTCGGGCCTATGACAACGTAAAGCCCAAAAATAATGCATGAGATGAGATCAAAACATTAAAGTGACACAAAATGATTACTAATTGGAACTCCAAATTTTCATTTCATTTTCCTTTTGAGAATCTTTTCCGACTACAACTTTGAAAAGTAAGGTTTTGTTAGAAAGAAAATGGATTATTGAAGAAAATCAAAGTACAATCATCTTAGAGCCCCGAAATGGTCCCATGTTGTAGGTCCCCGGACTTTACCAAAGTACCCACAGTTCATTAATCAAATGATTAAACTATCACATCGACACCCACTTTTTGACAAGGACACAAAGGTCCATTTGCTTACAATTCCAATTCCCCATAGATATCATAAAAAAGAAAAAAAGTATCCGCATGTTCTTAATGCCAGAGCAAATCATTATCAAAATCGAGGTTAACACTAAACACTACCTTGACAGCACGGATTAACGGTGATGTCAGCTTCTTGTCTCCGCAACCGTTACGAGCAACGGCTCCAAACAGCTGAAGCAACTCGATCTCGCAAAGCAAAAGCTTCCGTTTCGTATCGAACTCGACTTTGGTTGGGGATGTATAGTTCCTTTTAGCTGTTCTTGACGGCGACGTATCACGGCGGCCAAACGATAATGCCTCCCTGATAACGCATTGGTAAACGGTGTCTTTCTCCTTTAACCCCGAATAAGCGTCGCGTAGTAATACAATAGACTCGTTAACTTTCTCTGCCGCTACGATAAGAAGAGCTGCTAAAGCTACTATTTTGCCTCCCATGGCTATGGAATACGCCACCTCGCCTATTGCTTTCGTTCTTTCACTCAGAAGTTTCACCGCAGTCAAATCCTGCCAAACAAGTCTAATATTCAGATTTATTAATATTTACTAATAAGGATTTTAAACAACTGATTAGTCAAAATCCGAATGACGTGAAAATTTTTATTAGTCAAAATGCGAACTCCTTCATATTAGAATGATTTTCCCGAGAACCAAACAATATTTAAGGAAACCTTTTCACTAAGCAGAACCACCAAGTCGTCGACAGAGTAGTCATCCGGATTCCAAATCACATCCATCCTGAAAATCACAGAAAAAAGCCAAAAATTTTCATTATTCTTTTCAATTTAAAAAAAAATAACAAAAAGAATTATTATAATATAAAACGAGCCGAGAATAGAAAAAGAAACATTTCCAAAAAAGGCCATTACTTTTGCGGTCTTGCTTAAAAACATCACAGCTTTTGCCTTCTTGTAAAACAGAAAACGACATTTTCTTTCCTTTTTATTTTCGATTTTTTTACCTGCTACTAGACAAAACCATCTCCAGAGCAAGCAGACTTCGTCCATCTTTACTCCTCGCTTCCGTACGGGCGCGTCTCTTTAGTAACAACTCTACACAACGCGCCGCGTGAGCCTCCGACGCCGCCTGCAACGCCGTCACCTTCGTCGCCATATCCACCTCATTCACCATCGGCAGAAAATCAGTTTCCACTTCGCCGTTGAGCAGCGACGTGGCGCATTCAACAGCGTCGAAGTAACAACACAGGAGGAGAAGTTTCAATGCCGCGCTTCTTCGGTTCGATGGATCATCATCGGAGTCGTGGATGAGTTGACGCGAGTGAGTTATGAAGCGACTTCTGTCGTCTTTTGTGATCGAGTTGATGAGGGCAGTTTCTAAGTTGTTGAGTAGCGATGCTTTTATTGGCGTTAAGTTTTCAATATTGTTCTGTTTTGAGATATCACCGACTCTTCGATTTTCTTTTTCCTGCGATTATTATTCAAAACAAATAATAATATCTCAGTATTTATCACAAAAAAAGATTGAAAAGTAATAAAGCAGAAAGGAAGATGAAAATCGAAAGAGGAAAAATAAAAGCAAAATTTTAACATAAAATGAAATAAGAAATGAAACCTTTCCGTACTTGTTTGGCTGCTGAGAGAAGAGAAAACGACGTTTTTCTAGACAAACAAGCAGCAAAAATGAGCTTCAGCCATTATTTTTCTCATAAAACTTCAAAAAGGAGTCGAAAAGATGTGTTAGAGAAATCCTTCAAACTTGATTTGTTTTTAAAAAAATACTAATTTTCTAGAGAAAAGGCGAAATTTTCGTAGTAAATTCAAAAAATCCACCGGGTAAATTCTAATCTTTTTCCGAAATTTTCCAGATTGAATTTTTTGGACATTTTTCTTAATTGCAGAGAAAAAAAAGCGAATGCAAATAAAAAATCGAAGCATTTTTACGATTAATTTAAGCTTAAGAGAAGGTATCGCACCAGATCCATCAGCAAAAAAAGAAGCCCTAACTTTTCAGCTCCAAAATCAGTTTCAACCACAATGCCTCCATTTTCAACACCAAATCGAAGCTGATTTTCATGTAGAATCCAAACAAGGCATAAAAAGAGCCAAAAAATTTTCAAGTTTTAAAGAAAAAAGATTTTGAGTGGAAAAACGCTTCTTTGTCTTTCTCGCTTAATACAACAGGTGAAACAAAAGAAAAAAAGAAAAAAAAGTAAGATTATGAGTGATGGAGGTTAGTATTTATAACAACGGACTTGGGATTGGGTTAATTAAATGGATTTAAATGTGCATTTTCAAGTCCGCGTTTGATTATGCGGTTTGACTAAAATGACCTTCATTTGACTGGAGTTATGTGGGAAACATGAACGGGAATAGAAACAAAGGGGAGGGTAGTAAGGGGCATTAAGATGTTGCAAATAAAAGCTTGCTGAGTCGTTGTCTAACGCAGAGGAAGTACAAAATGTAGCAATGGAATATTGACAGGTGTAAGACTGTGAGATGTAGACAAAATGACTACAACTTCCTTACCATGTTTTTCCTTGAGTTTAAGGCGCCGTTTGGATTCAGTCCCACCACTCTTTTTGGTACGATTGGACCAATCCAATTATACTGAAAATGATATATTGAGTAAATCCTACTATTCATGTCATCATATTATATAAAATATTTTTTTTATATTATAATTTATATTAATATAAAAATATAAATAATAATATTTTATTTTATTAAATTTATTAATAATTTTTTCAAAATTTTAAATTATATTATTTTTATACTTTTTATTTATATTATTTTTATATCATATTATTATATTAAATTTTAAATTATCAAATTTAATATTGAGTAATATCAATATGATACGATAAAAATTTTTTTATTATATAATTCAAAAATTTTTTTATCATTAATTTAATTGTTAAATTATCTAAATTATCGAATTAAATTCGACATCATTATTAATTGAATTAACTTTAATAAATCATTAAAAAATTTTAATTTACATAAATCTCCAATTTTAATTTTAATAAATCTCCAATTTTATTAGAATACAGGAATTATTTCATAATTTGATGTTAATTTTATAATGTATGCACTTAGAATGTATCAATGTCATGGTCTATGAACATCGGGAAGGTTTAAAAAATATGAAGCTGCCGGAGAACAGTAATCTTCTGTTCCTCTAGGATTAACTCATCTAAACTCTGCCACGTTAAAACTAATTAGGGTGTAGTTAGTGTTTTTTTTTCCTTTTTTAACTCTCACTGCCACAATGTTACTTTGAGATGGGTTATGTCATTAAAGGCCAAAAACACTAGAGAGGCGTGGTTTGGCTTGTTTACCTTTGTATGTTTTAAGACAAAGCTTCTGTGCAGAAGATGCAGCTTCCATCTATGATCATAAATGGATTACACTTTTGGAAAATGTGTTTATATGCACTGATTTTATTTATTTATTTTGAATAATTCTTGTTATCAGGAGAAAGCTGATGTTGATGGTGACATGAACAATGATCAAAAACACATACAGTGGCTTAAAGTTATCAATGACAATAAAAAAGAGCTATCATTATCAGAAAAGGGTAAAATAAAAGGTAGATCTTAACATATTCTCATACAGGCCTTCAAGCATTAAACTTTGAATACAAAGTATTCTGGAGGAATGTAGCAGCTCTAGGTAGTATAATACAATCAATAATGGGGAAAAATTTTTCTATATTGCCTCTAGTTCTCAAGGCCTCCTTGAATCACTATTATTATCTACGATGCTATTGTACAAGTACAATCCTATCTAAGAAGAAAGCAAGGATCAAAATCATCCCAAAGATCATCTCTGAACCTGGTGTTTATGCAGTTGGTAGCTGCACCGATCTTCGTCTCGTGTAATCTAACTATTAACAAATACAGGTTAGAGATCAAAGGGTTCCTAAGAAATGGATCAATAGCTTTTCCCAAGTCAACAACATCAGATAGTAGATGCATACCATCCATGACCTCCAAATTGAAAATGCAGTTTGAGAGGACATAAAATCCAAGCAAATTTGCATATAGTGGTAAAAATGCATCCTTGTGGTTACCCACACCACCCATCCAATCAGCTCCCAGTTCTCCAATATGGTCGTTAGCAAATGATATCAACTGATGGAAAAATCTCATTCTCCAATCAAGTAGATAATTCAGGACCTCTTCTTTATTGAACAATTCACCTGCCCAAGATTTTGTGATTGGAAGCTTCACCAAGTGGGAGCAACATATTTGACTAATCAACAGCTTCTCTTCATGATGATTATCGACTTCCTTGTCAAAAACCCGTCTCACAAGATCACCTTTGGATATTACGTAGTTTGAGTTTGCTGCATCGAGTACCCATTGCAAAAGATAATCAAAGTATACAATCCAGTGGCCAAAGATGGAAGACAGATGGTCAAAACTCAGTTCAATAACTTTTTCCACTTGTGTTGGAGCCCCACAAGTTTCAAACTTTGTTCCAGAGTTTTTGGGGGAAAGGCACTTCTGGATTTCTGTGGCAAGCCTTTGTCTAATTCCATCATCTTCATCCTCAAGCAGTTTGATACATGTGAACCACATCTCCAGTATTTGATGGGCATATATAATAACAGCATCTTGGTGCTTGAAACAAGTAAATGAATTTTTGGAAGAAATTTGCTGGTTGAACACAGAAGAAGCAATCACCTCAGCTTGTTCCAATAAGCCAGATGCTAACATAGATTCTGCTGCCGCACTGCGCATGTTTACTGGCTCAGATGAGGAACTATGCTGCTTAATTAGGTCAATGAAAACGGTAATGCATTCATAAAAGCGGGCTGATCCCTCCGTCTGATCAGATTCATTATATCCAGTAGTTCTCTGCCCCTTATCAGTAAGAATAAAACTACTAAATAACCCTACAAACTGCTTCACACATATTGCCAGGCAACAAATGAGTGTTTCTCGAGTTTTAGCATGTTGTGTGATCTTGTACAAGGATATCAGCCTATCCCATAGCTGAGATATAGAATCACAATCCAATGCACCAACATAAAGTGTTTCATCACTCTTTTCGTCGCTTTCATGAAACTTCAGCAAGTTCCAAGTGAAAATAATTCTCAGAATGTAATATGTACATCTATGATTCTTCTCCAGTTCCAAGAGCTTCATCAGTGTAGCCTGAAGGTTAGCTCTTGTCCAGTTCTTAATAATTCTGGTCTCACTGCTAGACAGATAGTTAATCTCACTGCCAGATTTAGACTTCAGGAACTTAAGCAGCCACTTCAAAGTTACTAGTCGAACTTCATATGATGAATCTGATAAAGAACGAATCAGCCTTTCCAGGAATCCACTATTCTCCACTTCATTGAATTGCGACAATATTGAATTCGATGGAGATCTTAGTGGAATCTGAAGAACCTCTTCACTATCTTCATCAGATGCTTGAAACAGACAACTAAAATAAGATGCAGCTGCTTGTTGACGAAGTTCAGCTATTGTTGGATCATAATACGGAAGCCCGTAAGAAGCTTCTACATCTAAGCATTCTGTAGATAATTCCAAAAGTAGGTTTCGGATGGCAAACAAATTTTTGCTCATATGACGTGATCTTGCAACACTAAGCATGTGATCCAGCACTTGCAGGAAAGTGCAATTGAGAATGGGACAAGGGCATCTTTTGGGGCTAGCAACCCATGATCGCATTGCAAGAACCTTCATCAACTCACCAAGAATCTGATCTTTCCTTGAGAAATCAGCAAGATTTCTACAATTTATATCAAGAAGAGAACCTAACTGCAACAGAAGCCCATGAATTAAATTAAAGGAAGCAAGGTGGGCTTCATTGGCTGGATGTAATGAGATCGATGCAGAAGGAGCTGCTGTGATTTGGTTCTCTGCATGAGGCAATTCAGAAGCAATATTAAGGAGAACAGTTGGCAATTTCTCATTAGATACCAGTCCTGTCAAAGCCCGTGAAGCAAGAACACGAACTCGCAGGTTGCTTTGTGTTGAGCACTTCCTAATGAATGGCATGAAGAGGAAAGGATCCAGGTCATCCCCAGTCTCACTTGCAATTGTTGAAGGCTTGAGCCTGGATAAAAGAATCAGCATAGGGCACAAACTTGGATGCACAACTTTTGCCAGGTTGGATTCTGATTGTCCGGACAAAGCATCATCAAGCAACTCCGTTGCAACTTTCAGTTCATTGGACAGGAACGGATGCAGCAAAGGATACCTTCAGGATAAGATTTAATCAATAGTTAGTCAAGA